ATTCGATATTGAGTTTTTATTTCTTTTTAAAAAGTTTGCAGCCCAATCTCGACCGGGTAGATTATTATTAAGCTTCCGTTAATTGCGGCCTTTTCTGTCAAGATAAGACTTGATTAATATCCTCAAGTCAATAATGTCAAACGGAAAGCCCCAGAAAGCAACCACGTTCAGATGTTCAACCAGCACTTTTTCTTCGTCGCTTGTTAAAATAAAGGCCTTCCTGCTGTAGTAAAAGTGCTCGTAAAGCTAGGGTAGACCTTGGCACCCCATATTTTTTAGAAGCCTTATCAAGGCTCAGACCATTATACTGATTATCACGTATGGAGTTTTGGAAGGCTTCTTCCGTATAGTTTCTGTAAGGGGTGTAGTTTTTACCATTTCGTGAATGGGTTACCGTTTTTACGTAGGTGCGAACCATTTTTATTTTAGGGACCAGAAGAGATTTTTAGCCTAAAAAAGCAAATTCTTTGATTATTTTAGAAAATGGGGATATTTTGGAAACGCGGGGCTATTTTGGAAGAATAAGAAATATATCGTCCAAAATTGCCCCGCTCACCGAAATACCCCATAGTTTTTTTTAAATATATATTGTCCTTAAAATACGCAAAGCCATAGGTGCATTCGCTCATTTTTACTAGTGTGCAGTAGTGAAAGTTTGGCCATATTAATTTTCTTGCAAAAAAAAGCATGTGGTTTGCCGGCGCCTAGAGCTACTAAACTTACCTCTACCAGCCCGCAATAAGTTTTCTTCTTCTTTAATGTGGTTATGGGCTTAATCCGAGGACTATCCACTCAGGTAAAGTTATTTTTTTAAATTTTGTTCAAGTGGAAAAGCTGCATCCTCGTGCGTCGGACTTCTGTCCTCACTCTTCCACTACACTTGATAATTATTTTAAATATTCTTTAGAATTCTTGGCACTGAATATTTTGTTTAATTTAGTACACTTTTTAAAGTCGGATAGTTACTTTTGTACTTGATATTTCGTGATTTTAGTTGAACTTGAGGACTCCCGATTCGGAGACCGCCATTTAAATGTTGTCACGACGATGTCCGAATCGGAAGTCGCCCGCAATAAGTACTGACTGGTTTTTCGCGGTCTTCTGTCTTCTCTGAGAACCCTCCAACGTTCTTTAGCGTCGTACGCCATGATTACACATCGTTGCCAGATTGCAAATAAGAAAAACACAATTTCCAAAATTACCCCGCATTTGTAAAATAACCCCGCTATACGGTACCGCTCTGGGATATTGTTCCTGTACATAATGATTAATAATTTTATACATCGTTTAGCCACTTGTCCTGACAATTGTAATAATTATTGAACTAAAAAAATAAATATTGACCGACATAATTTGCGCTAGTGCAACAGCCCTTTGGGCCCTTAGGAAAAGCCGCCACTGGTGGACCTATATTAAACAATGCGATTTAATGTGTGTTTACCTATCCACTACAAATGGTAACTAAACAAATATACCTATACTGGGTATTTTTTGACGACTATTTGAATTGACTTTACCTACTCCGATTTCCCCTAACTGTTTATTGATGTGAATAAATAATAATTAGAAGGAAGGACACCTCTCATCTCTCATCCTACATACAAACAAGACGCACAGCATGGAGGAAGGAATAATAACGCGTAGTAGGTCGCGAAGCAATACCTTAGTGAGAGAGAATATGCAGTTGTTGTAGTTTCAAAAATAGCAGGTCATGTTATTCAATTTAGAAGCGAATGCAGGAATTGGGCTATCTGATTATCTAAATTCCGGCTTTACACATCTCAGATATAGAACGAGTTTCATTCAGTGAAATGTTTTCTATTTTACTATTTCCAGTTGTAGTGTTATTTGATCAGTTTATCCGGTAAGTTATATGTTTCATAAAACGTCAAAATGAAATAAATGCGTGTCGGTAGAAATTCAACTTTAATAGTCAGTTGAATAATGATTTTTACGCCGTGTTTAACTTATTGTGTTTACAATAACAAATTAATATAATTATTATCTTTCAGTATTGAGAATGTCCTGAAACAGGTAAATGTTTAGGTTTTATTGAGGCGATACCTATTTACAGACTGATTGAGTGACCATATTTAAAAAAAAGAACTCTTTAAGGGAGTGCGTTATTTAAAGCGACTTAAATGAAATATATGTATAAATTCATGGGAGTCGTTTGGGGCGGGCGAAGGGGAGGCAGTTGCCCCCACTGGCTTTTAAGACTTTACAACGCGTAATGGCTGTATAGCACAAGTAGAAGTTGGAAAGGCTTTTGGCAGGTAGTAAACGTCAAATTTCGTCGGACGGCTTCGAGAATTTTGCAGTAATGTTTACCTGCCAGTGTCGTTTCATAGAATAAGTAATTTTAAATTGTTACCGGCGAAACCGGACACTGGCATGTATTTATGGACTATAAATAATTATTAAACATGTATTATAATATTAAAATCACAATTTTAATAAAATTTCAACAGCTATTCACAATTTATTTAACTATTTACTCGAAATCGCTCGAAATTGTTATAAACATCTATAAAATAATTTTGTACGCCTATGTATCGCGTCCACTTCGGCTAGATCCGCCGTAAACTTATGTGTATAAAGTGGGAGAACTGGCAAAAGCCTTTCCAACTTCTACCTCTGCTATATGTCACAATACTAAATTAAATACTAAAATTTAGCCCTAAATTAAGTTATTAATTTAGTACTAAATCTAGAACTAAAAATATTTTTTTTCATTTTGCAATGATACCAATTTTTAGTACTAAATTAAGTATAGGCGCACGCGCATTGACGTATTATTATGTGAAATTAGCACAGAAATGAAATATTCTGTGTAAATGAGACAAGTGAATTAAAAGATTATTAATTTTTCGTAAATATTTGTAATAAATTGTTATATAGTACAGTAGTCGTAATTTGGATAGTGTGGATAGTAGTTCGAGCCCCGAAACTTTTAGTTTTTTTTTTAAAGGAAAAATATTATTGTTTTAAATATGATTGTTTTATTACTTTTTTACTTTTTTTACGTTTCTTACTTTTTACTTTCCTATCTGTATACAGATAAGGAAAGTATAGGAATCATAATTTTTCGACCTCCAGTTTTCGACGGATTTTTACATGTATTGTAAGAATAAAAATATTTTAAACAATATTAACTTCTCATTAGAAAAAAGTTTGTTTATTTATCGGTCACCACGCTCAAAAAGTGTAACTTGAATTAATATTAAAGAAAAAACTTGAATTAATATCAAAGAAAAAAAATACTGCATAAATAAAATAAATAAATAATTATAATTGCATAAGTTGATAAAAAATGCTATGCAATAGCTTTACCGTGGCAGTCCCCGAGTGCCACACGTATTTTTTTTAATGTAGGTAAAAACAAAACAAAAAGTAATAGCAGTAGCAGTGTAAATTATATAAATTTTCAGTAGCAACATGGAAATTAAATCAAAGAAATAAATGGATAGCTGTACAATAAGAAGAAAAAAAACCTTTATTTTTGTAATAATAACAGTAATACTGGAAATATTAGACATCAGAAAAATGAAAGGTTTTAATAAACAATAAATTATTATTTTACAATGTTGTTCAACATCCCCTTAACTCTTAAATGTTCAGCAAGGATTAGATTTCTGCCTTTGATTATTGTATGTGGCTGAAATGCAATCTTGTAACTTATTGATAGGAAACCAATTTTAATCATTAATTTCTATGGGTTCTTTCTAACTAAAAATAAAGAAAATATAAATTACAATCACAAATTTACCAATTATTTTTGTTAATACATTTTGATACTACGTTATTATATAGGACAACTTATTAGGCTTAGGCAACATATCATACATTTTATCGTAAATATTGTTGCCTGCGCATGTTTTATTATTGATTTTTATTGATTAAACTACTTTTTTTAGCTGAAGTAATAAAAATATATAATAATAATAATAAATTTTTTCACTTCTTTTACAAATCTATATACTTTTATTAAAATCAACATATATATTTTTTAATTAGGAATTCCATTAAAAATTGTATTGTCAGTATACGCAAATATCGTCAGTTAGTTCATACAGTTTAGTTGGTGCTGCTGTCACGCACAGAGCGAATAATGAATGAAAATAGGTTGACTGCGCTTTGAATGATGAGCGTACATCGAAAAATAATCGCAAAAAACTAAAAAGAAATAATGTTTTCTGTTATCGATTATTTTAGGTAGAGGAAGAAGAAATTGAAAATTTGCGTTTTCCTAGTGTTCGTCGACGTGTTTGAGTGAGTTTTTTTGTTTTTATGTTTCTATAAATATTTTAATTCTTTTTTTATATTATGTATGGCTTCTTCTCGTTCATATTTTTCTTTTATATCACACCTTCTGTTTGTTTTTCAAAAATACGTGTTTTAAATTTCTTGTTTTTTTTTTATTTTAGTTTTTGTCTTTTTTGTTGGGTTATTTTATTTATTAGAAACTTTTGTTAATTTATATTCCTCTTTTATTTTTCATTTTATTTGTTTTTTATCAAATAAACATTCTAATTTTTTTCAAAATTTTGCCTCTCCCTATAGAATTGTGTAACGACGCCCATCTATATATTTTTAAAAGCGGGACTAAGACAAAATCGGGACACATATCAAAGCGGGACTAGTGCTTTAAAATCGGGACGGATGGTCACTTTATGATTGGCGGCAGGTTGCAACAACGTTTATCAATTTAATATACTATAACTTAAAAACTGTAAACAGTAACTAAACAATTATATACAGCGTGTATTTTTGATTAAATCCATTAAATTGATTTTATCTATTCCGGTTTCCCCTACTTGTTCATTGATGTCAATAGACAATTTAGAAGGAAGGACACATTTCATCATATGTACAAACAAGCCTCGTAATAGGTCGATAACTCCTTATCTAAATTCGGGTCATACACATAATAGATAATAAACCTATTTCATTCTGTGAAATGTTTTTATTTTTTATTTTACTTTTTCCAGTTCAAGTGTTATTTGATCAGTTTATCAGGTAAGTTATATTTTTCATGAAACATCAAAAGGAAATGCGTATCTATAACAATTCAACTTTAATCGTCACCTTTTAAGGCTCAAGTTTCGTTCACAGGAAATATTTTCTGAAAAACTTGGAGTAATCTACTAGAGTTCCTAATCAGCACAAGTTTGCCGAAATACATTGTAAGAGAGGAATTTGTAATAAACAAGATACATTTGCTTTAGCAACAAAAATCCTTTATGTTCAAAATACAAAGAGCTAGAAAAGCACATTGTTCGAACATCATTTATAATTAAAGTTTAGATACAGTAAGTATTTTAACCATCCATTTGGCACTGTTATTTAAAGATTTTCATACGAGGAAATTTAAAATTTTCTATCGAAATAAGTTTTTCCTCAATGAAATTTTGATGCTACTTTATTATATATTACCTGCAACATATCTATACCTACATATATAGTTACCCTTTCCAACTAGCAATTCCTACAAAAAATTTTCTCGCTATTTGCGATTCAAATTAATTTTCGCGCGCCTGTCATTTGTCACCTATAAGTAGAATATTTGTTTATTTACATTTTGTTGGTTTTGGGCGGGCTTTTATATTTGTAATTTTTTAGCTGTTCTTAGGTATTGTTATTATTATAACAGTTTAGTTTCCGTGCATTTGTCATAAATATAATTATCATCTGTTTAAGGCTAATTTGATGGACATTTTCACTTATCTGTATGCCTCACCAACATCTAGAAATATTTGTTAACTAAAAGCAAGACATCTTTTTCTTTTATAATATGGTTTTAAGGAAATATCAGGTACCTAATGTTTATTATTGACAAACTTAATTAAAAATCTAAGTATCCTTATAATCTGTAGTGAACTTTGTGGCACTTTCTAACAATGTAGCAAAATCTCAATGATGTGAATTGGAAAATAATGAAAACTTTCGTTTTGATGTAGAAATTCAACATTTATCACAATATAAATTGAAATTTGTTGGGAGCTTTTTCGCAAATTTCATTTTTAAAGTAAACACTATCACTCACTATAAGAAATAAACAAATTTAATGTTGACAAATAATAAAAAATTAAAAAATGATAATTGATACAAATCACGACAAAATTTTGCCAACTGATGAAGTGATTTTAAAAAGAAATTGGTAAATGAACTGAAATTTAAAGAAAACTATCAATATAATTAAATCTGTTTTATAAAAATCCTTAAACAAATATAGATTATGATTACATATTGGTAAACACAAATTACGCAACTTAAAAAAAGGTCTTTCCGCTACGTCCGCGGACGTAGCGAAATTCCGCTAGTGTTGGCAACAATGGAGAAAGTTCTACTTATAGAACAGTGTTGCCAGCACTTAAAAGTAACAGATTGATGGTTTAAAAGGTAATAGATTTCAGAGAATAGTAAAAATGATCGTTTTTATTTTCCCAGCAGGATAATCCTTAATGTTTGGATTATCCAGACGATTTTTGCGTTTATTTCCGGATTTTGACTATCTAATACAATTAATTTTTTTTAAGAATGTGATTTTTTTATACACTGTTGTTAAGAGGCTTCCAAAACCTTACAAATGAAGTATCACTCAACCCCTTTTTCCTATTCAATTTTTAGGGGTTGAAGCGCTCCCTCATAGAGAGTTGATCGTTCAAGCCTCAACTATACGAAATTTTTCCAATTACTATGGGATAAGAAATATACGGGGTGGCTCGTTTGAGATGGAACACCCTGTATAGGTAAACTATTTAAATTTACATACCATTTCTTAGGTAAAATTTCTCATCGAGTATATTAAATTAACTGGTTGATCCATTTTTCCGATTCAGACTTTTAAAGTGAAAAACCATTTGTCTCTTTATTTTTATCAAATTTTTATTGTACATTTCCATTTCCATAATGATGTCAAATAGTTACCTCATCAGAATAATGAAATTTTTCCTTTTAGCGGGTTTTGTGGGAAAAAAATTTACAAATTTTTTGCTTACTTCTTACTTCATAGTATTTACAATTGTGTACAAAATAGACCATTTTTTTGAAGTTGTCTTTGGATGGTCTTAGACACTGAAACAAAATATAAAACAAATTACCGTCGTAAAACTTTATTATAAGGTAAATAAACCAATATGCACGCAGAATGTACTACATCTAGTGCAATTGTGAATTGTACTAGACTGGCAACACTGGTTTGGCAACCTTGTTTGTGAGCGGCGCGCCAATTAATGTGTTCTTTGACAGTTTGAAGGACCTGTTGGCGTGTTGTCTTCTCTTTTTAGCTATATGTATTCGCCAAATCGTCTCACTCGTGTTAGGCTCACTCATCATAATGCGCCACAGACACGGTATACTTAGGTATATTGTGCCACAGGTACGCGATCAGCCGGAGAGCAATGATGTATCAAAAAATATAGATTAACACGTATGAAAATAAAAATTTTAAAATTAAATTTATATTTTTATGTAATTTTAAAATAATGTTTCTTTATGAAATTGAACTGGGTGTTCACTGCACGCCCGAGTTGCGAAGGGTATTTAACCTACCTGTAGCCTTACGCCCGAAATGCGAAAAATTAAGTATTCCGCTCCAGTTGCGACGCACGAGATGCGCATAAATCCATTAAAGAGAGGTACTTTTACCTTTATAAGTATGTTCTAAGAAACTACAGGGGGTGTCCGCGCTCGTACAACAAAGGGGTCGTTAAAGAGGATTATAAATTAATGGTATTTCCAAATAAAATTAAATATGTATAATAATTCAATAATTGTTATTAAATAAACTGCAAATAAACACTATATACAGCGAATTTTTAGTGAAAGCTATAACTCGTAAACAAGAGCTGTCAGAAAAAAAGTGGGGGTATATTTAGATTCAGCGACTTAAAATTAGTAAACATCATGTGACATAAGTCATTCATCAGTCAAAAAGTGTAATTTTGTTGGCCAGTGTAATCTGTTCCCCAAACACAACTGAATTACAAAAACTGGTACGCGATGAAGCGTTATTAAAATTCATAAAAAACAAAAACAGATAAAAACATAAACAGACTTATTAATTCGTTTAACTTTTCGTACACAAGTCCAGGACCAGATTTAGATTTTTTAATTCTGTATCTTTCTTATTTTTGAATTTTTTTAAAGAGGTTATTTAAAAAGTATGTTTATTTTGACGACTTTTATTCACAGTTAAAAAAACATCAACTCAGAATTCACCTTGTATAAAGACATCGTCTCACAACAAAAATAATGCTGGCTTATTGAATTTGGTAATATATTTCACTCTAATATGGTAATTACTATTTTCATTAGTTTCGACAATTTTCGAAACCTTGGACTTAATGGACAAAATGTGTAAACCAACTTCTTCCAGATATATATTAATAACATTTATTTATTAGGTCAGTGTTAAATTTGAGCTTACAGTTTGTGTTATTACTCATTGTCATAATACGTATTTGAAGGGTTTTAAAATCGGCATTTCGGTAGGTACGTAAATAATACATAAACATTCTGAAAACAATTATTTTTCTTGTTCGTTACTAATTTATAGGATTATCTATATCTGTAATGCTTATCTATGTAATTTTTCTTGTGACCCAGTGGTAAATATAGCAAAAACATATCTCAAAGTTTTACTCAAAGTAGCATATTTTATTTTAGTGAGAGTTATTAAGATAATGTAACTATTTTAAAGAAAATTAACACAAAAATTTGAAATTATAAATTTTATTAATAATAAAATTAAATAAAACTAAAAAAAAACAAAGAAAATTGGCCTTAGCCTATATTTGAACTCCGGTCATTAGAATGGGAACGATTCACTCTAATTTTTACATTTACAATTAAATAATTTTAGATACGTAAAGCGGTGTTAGGGTCCGATTACAATTAAAAGAACGCAGCTACGTCATCATTTGGCAAAGTAATTAATTGGTTATTAGGTACCGCCTACTGGGGGTTTAGTGCAATGTTAATATTATAGAACTATAGGAAATATTGTTTTACTAACAGCTTACTTATTTTTTTTATTGATAGTTATAGATAATATGTATTCGAAATTCAAAGTAACGGTTATGACGTAGCTGTGTTCTAATTGTAATCGGACCCTACTTTTCACTAGCGAGGTAACATTACACAATGATGTACTGTAATTTCTAAAAAATTACGATAAAATATAAAATCGACAAATTTGTATCTTCTTTACTACAAAGGCGGGAAATAAACACTGAAGGAAGAGCCGCCCTACATTGGCGCAATTTCAAATTAAGAGTTCGAAGTGGAACTTGATTGCATTCAAATATATTTCGGTATTTTACCATTTGTGACAACAGGTAAGTTCTAAAGGTCATAGAGCTTATTGGGTAATTATCGAGATGTAACTACAAACAAATATCGTGCGGTCCTGAATAAGACATATTCTAAAGGACACATGCATGTATAATATACGCTGTTGTCATGCCCATTTCATTATTTTCATTCTGTTTGCAAAATTATTTACATATTTTAGAAAAGCTAAAATAATTCAACCTAGTTTCTTGCAACTGAAACCAAAAATTTTTAAAACATTAGTTATATCAATTTTAACTAAATTGTATATAATTTCAGTAAATTAGATGTAATAATTTTCAATAAATTTCAAAACTTGTTATGTTAAATTGGATATCAAGTATTTTTTTATGAAATGTGGCAGCTTACAAAATATTCATTCATTAAGTCATCAAGTTGTTTAGTTGTTAGAATTTACCGAATTTACTTATCATAGACGTACCAATTACGAAAAATATCTTATTATTTTTAAATAATTAGTATTAATAATGTTTTGAATTAACCATGGTTATTCATATCAGCCTTAACAAATCAGTCAGGAGAAGATGCGAAATATTAAAATTGTTCCGGGAAATATTTCTAAAAATCTCAAAGTACCTAGTTAATCTTATGTAAAAAAACGAATTTGTCCAAAAAATCTGCATTATTTATTAAAATCTTTTAAAACAGGTTTTTAAAATTATTAAGTTTAATAGGCTATCATCATTCATAAATAGATACAATCTTTTGTCAAATAAGCAATATGGATTCAAAGAGAAGACCTCAACTGTGGACGCTATTTTAAATTTAACAAAAAATATATACAAATCGCTGGAAAATGGGAAATCTTGCTTATGCCTATTTATAGATTTAAGTAAGGCTTTTGACACGGTAAGTCATTCGTTGTTAATCCAAACCCTAGAAGATTTGGGGATCAGGGGAAACGTTCTAAACTCTTTTTAAAAGTTATCTATGCACAAGAAACCAAGTGGCAAGA